CATGCCTGGCCAATTCGTTGTTGATTTTACTAACTATCTTATTGGCTTCATCGACTTTTGGATATTTGTACGTGAAGAAACAGTAGTAGCACATCATAAGTAGCACATCATAATATATTCAATTGTTCAATAAAGCTACACGGAGCAACACTCCAACATGCAAAACAAGTATAGCCAATACTAGTTATACTAGATATAGTACCTTCTACACTCGCTAAATTAGTACCACAGTTGTCGCTTCCTCGACACTGTCTATTAAACAAAACCACAGATCCAATATCGTACTGAGAAAGCAGGTCGACCTTCCACCATGGTTTGGTATCACCAACATCACTGCTAATGCATGATAAATGTCCAGCATCACCATCTATGTTGCCATCAACTGCTGCGGCAGCTGGGGGAAAACCGTCATGAAGTGACGATTGTGTGGCAACTTTACCAAGTGCAAGGTTGTTTAACTCTGTAATTCAATCAGGCAATATTTTATTTATGTATTTATAATCCTTATGAGATATTTAAATAAAATATGTTTCAAAACAGCTTATTATGACCCTTTTGATGATAGAACATTGGTAGTATATTGTTCTATCACCGCGGTGTTAGTGGATTGCGTAATATTTTAATGAGGTTTCTTTCAAGGTATCACTAAAAACAATAAGCCATGCAGTGCAAATTATATGCTCGTGTGTTTTCAACAAAAATAGCCTATCCAAGCGCTTGGATAGGCTATATCAAAACCTCAGTAAAATATTACGCAAATCACCAGCACCTCGAATATAATAAAATACAGTAAAAATAAAGTATTATTGTAAGTTGGTAATGAGAAATGATACTTACTTGATGGCCGAAAAACAGCAACTTCACAGAGTGTGAAGAAATTTGTGTCTTGCAACTGAACCCTAACATAGCGTCCTTTCATTCCACTAGGGCAGTAAAACATCTGACAACCCTTCTTGCAGGGTTGCAGTGCTGCGTTTCTGTAAAAAGTACACAGCTCCCACTTTTTGGCGTTTTTGCTAACTTCAATTTTGAAGTTTGAAAGACGATCTATAGAAAAATAAAAACAGTTGTCACATTTTCCATACTTTTTTGTATCACATTTATTATAATATAAGGGAATTGCCACAAACAAACGTTCTTTATCATTGAAAATGTGGTGCAACCTACCATGATTTTAAAATATATGTGTTACCGTTTATAAACATATAAGCGCAAATGCCAAAGGGAAGGGTGACTAAAAACTTTAAAGAAACCCAACAAGAAAAGCAAACTGTAAGTGTAAATCTGTTATAAGAAAAGTAGACCCTATATATCCCAAAGCCATGATCTAACGCTAAGAGAAACAATGTCTAACATCCCTCTCCCCCCTCCAATCGAGAACCAATATCACAATCCAGGACCAGAGGCCTCATTATCATCTGGTCGCAAATAGTTGCGTTGCGTCTGCGATGCGATTGCGATCGCAATTCGTAACGCATGCGATGCGTGATATTATCAATTGAGCGCAATCGCAGACGCAAAGCAATCGCAAAACAATTAAAACGTAAAAGTTGCGATCGCAAGTCTAGAGTGTATTTTGGCGCGAAATTTAAAAGGACACTGGCGCTAGTTTTTGACATTGATTGGTTGAAATTGATAGAAATCCAATAATTGATATGATTTGATTGGTTGCGCATGCATTACACTTGTGCAAGACATAAACCCATATTTAATCCCGACCAGTAAATAAGCTTTTTATCCCATGATATTCATGACTCTCTTCATAAAATCAATAGTTCAAACTGATTTTTGTATGAAACAAAACAAGACAATACATTCAGTCTATAAAATAGGACTGAACTTTATGACATTTTGAAACTATAAAAGTTTTATTGTATAACATAAACACATCAACATCAAAATAATTGTGTTCATGTCCATCACAGGGCATTCGCATATTGTTCAGATTTCTATGACGTTGACTGTCCCTGTCAGAGCACGATGATGGAATTACAAATCGCCTATGTTTAATAGAGTAATCTTCATACTTCTTAGTTTCAAATTTTCAATTTTGTTTGGCAAAATATCGTTGCTCACATAAGAACATCATTTTAGAACGCTATATCGAGCCAACTGAATGAAACAGGAAGCTTTGTTTAGCAAAAATTCCCGGGAGGTGAATAACATTTTCAAGAGCGGGATCGGGAGGTGAATACAAAAAAATGTGGGCATGCCTTCTTGCCTATAAACGTTGTGGGGCCATAATAAGTCGGCCTTTTTGGGCATTAATAGGCATTGAAGGACCTTATTTTAAAAGAAAATGGGCCTGTATTTTCAAAATTCCGGCCATCCCTTGATAATCAATTAAAGTAAGCTTTTATCCCATATTATTTTGTATGAAACACAATCAAACTACAGTCAGTGAAACCTGTCTTAGAGAACAACTCTCTCAAGTGGACACCTGTGTCTAGTGAACACCCCTTCTCAGCACATACTCCATTGACTTCTGTAAGATCGCCTCTATATATGTAGTAAATACTTACCTACAATGAACAAATTTTTGTGGCTCCATATTGGTGTTCACTGTACACAGGTTTTACTATTTCTTATGTATAAAACTCTGGCAATTATAGCATACGCATTTTGAAATATAAAGACTTTATTGTATACCATCAACAGATCAAGAAATTCAATATG